CGTGAAGCCGAAGCGCTGAAGGACCTGGTGCACCATGTGTGACTGAATCAGGGTAATGGTGCGCTGTGCTCTGTCCCGGGTGACATGCAAGCCAAGGTAGCTGCGCAGTTCACCCAAGTCTGTGCACGTGTGTCTCTTCTGCGGCTCGGACTTCACGTAGGCGAGTCCAGTAGTGTCAGCTGTGGCAAAGACCAAGTCGTCGACGTACACGAGGATGTAGAAAGGCGGCAGAGAAGTGTCGGTGCGCAGAAACAGCAACGGGTCAGCAGTAGAAGGAGCAAACCCAAGAGCCGCAAGTGTAGTCCTCAGTGTCTCGTGCCACTCACAGGGCGCCTGGCGGAGACCGTAAACTGGACGCCGGAGACTCCACTGGGTACCAGGAGGGAACGACCCAGTGAAGCCAGGTGGGCGACGCAGCCAGATCTCCTCGTGCAGGCTGCCCTGCAAGAAAGCTGTGCTGAAGTCGAGGGAGTTCAGCTCGTAGTCACGGTGAGCAGCAACGTGCAGTAGCACCCGAAGAGTGGTCATCTTCAGGGTGGGAGAGAAGGTCTGAAAGTAGTCAACTCCCTGCCGCTGACTGAAGCCACGAGCCACGTAACGCGCCTTGAAGACAGGCGGAGAACCCTGCGGCCGCTTCACCCTGAAAATCCACATGCCACTGACGATGTTCGCCCCAGGAGGGGGGACAGCGTCAACATAGGTGCTTGTGGACTTCCAGGAAGCCATCTCTGCATCCATAGCTGCTTGCCACTGAGAAGAGTTGGGACCCTCTATCGCCTCCGCGTAAGAGCGCGGAGTCGGGATGTCAAGTGCATCCGGATCTCCCTCACGGGTAAGTAGTACGGACACGAGATAAGGTGAAGCAGCTGCCAGACACTGGAACTCCTCTTGCCTGTCCTCAAGGACGTCCGTGCCAAGGGCACACTCACCCCCGACGGACGGAGGACAGACAGACTCAGACTCAGCGACAAGACTAGCAGCATAGTCAAGGCGACAGCGAGCAGCAAAGTCGACGAGCTCAGCAACTAGGGCAGACGCAGCAGTGGACTCAAAGGAAGGGTCAGTGACGACAGTAGCAAGGAGACGCGTAACAGTAGGACTGGCAGCACGAAGAAACTCTGACTCCAGGTCGGTAAGAGTAGGAAGAGAGGACGCAGGAGGAGAAGGGAAAGGGGCACGCAGGGGAGCAGTGGACAGACGCAGAGACATCTGGTGCGTACCAGGGACAGGAGGAGGACGCTGACGCGAACCGCGACCACTAGTGCGAGCAGCACGAACAGGCGACGCAGGACGAGACGCAGGCTCACGACGCTCAGCTAGACCACCAGTAGGACCAGTGTAGGGAGAGGGAGCAGGTAGTGGGGAGGCAGGCTGTAACTGTAGCTGTGACTGGACAGGCTGTGGACACTCTAAAGAAGGAGGAGGACTAGTAGAAGGTGGAAGACCAAGAACCTGCTGCAGGAGTGGAACGAAGTACCTTCGAGGCCGCGCGGCGACACCAGACACAGCAGGGACAGCACCAGTACCCCCAGGAGGAGCACCCTCTCCAGCAGCACCTCCAGCAGCTCGAGACCCTCCAGCAGTACCGCGAGCAGTAGGCGCAGCACCAACGCCCGCAGCAGCACCAGCTCCATTCGAACCCGCAGGCCTAGCAGCTCCTGTACTCCCAGTACGAGCACCTACGGGACCCGCGGCACCAGCACCCTCAGCAGCCGAAGAACCTCCAGCTCCAGCAGCACGGCTCCAGCGCCGGGCAAACCACTCGCGCAGCTCCGGTGGAGAGAGTGGCTCCCGGCGAGACGAAGCCCCCGGAGGACCTCCAGGCGTAGCACCTCCAGGCTCAGCACCCTCAGTCGCAGCACCCCCACGCTCAGCACCCCCAGGCTCAGCACCTCTAGGCTCAGCACCCCCAGGCTCAGCACCCCCAGTCGCAGCACCCCCAGACTCAGCACCCCTAGGCACAGCACCCCCAGTCGCAGCACCCCCAGGCTCAGCACCCCCAGTCGCAGCACCCCCAGGCTCGGCACCCTCAACAGCACCAGAGTCACCAGTGACCTCGACAGGCTCGACTGCGTCTACCTGGGACACACCTGAAGGGGCAGGACCCTGAGGGAGGAGGGGGTCTACCGGGGGGGGACCAGGGACAAGGAAGAGCGGGGGCGGGGGTAAGGACGGAGTGCGGTAGGGGAAGAGGCGGTAGTAGGGGACCGACTCGTCAAACGTGACGTCCTGGGAGGATAGAACACGGCGAGAGGTGGGGTGGTAGAACTGCCACCCAGGCGCGTCACGAGGGAACCCCAGGAAGACGCAAGGAGCAGCACGAGGGGAGAGCTTGTCCGCAGACAAGTTGCGGACAAACGCCCGAGATCCCCAGACCCGGAACGCCGACGCATCGCCAACCTTCCCCGTCCACAGCAAGGCTGGGGATGTCTCCGGTCTGGAGACCCTGGGGTGGAGGTTGATCTGATGCGCCGCGTACCTCACCGCAAACGGCCACAGAAAATGGGTGGCAGCCGCATGCATCATGTACGTACGAGCGACGTCCATCACCATGCCAATGCGGCGCTCTGCGATCCCATTTTGCGGTGGAGAGTCCGGAAGCGTGAAGGTCTGACGGATGCCTCGTGCGCGACAGTAGGCTCTCAGAAGGCCAGAGGAAAACTCTCCGCCTCTGTCCGACTGCAGACGCAGAACAGGAAAGTCCGAGCCAAAGCTCTGCCTGAGCTGGAGACGAGCTGCGCGGATCCAGTCGATCAGCACCTCAGTGACATCACCCTTGCTGCGCAAGGGGAAGACTTCGGTGTAACGCGAGTAGTCGTCAACAACAAGCAGGAAGTAGCGCTCGTGACCCTGTCCACGGACGCGGGCTGGGCCCCACACGTCCATGTGAAGTGTCTACAGCGGGGCCTCTGTCGGAGGAAACTGGGAGGAGTGAGGGGCAGCCCACTGGCGCCCCTCGACGCAGGGGACACATGAAGGGCCAGGCCCCTGAGGAAGGGGAGGGAGGGACCTGGGGAGACCAGAAACAAGAAGACGGGAGGCCATGCCTCTGAGCCGAAGCAGAGAGGGGTGACCAAGGCGGTGGTGCCAGAGGAGAGTCTCGTTAGAGAGGAGATGACACGAACAGGGGGCAGACTCAGGACCAGACCTGGACGCTGCAGCAAACACCTGACCCGACGCAGACACCCGACCAGATGCAACAACTGGAGGAGACGCAGTGGTCAGTGTGTACAGGCTCGACCCCGGCTGACGTATAAATGTAGCCAGGTGTCGGCCTGTGCGAGCCTCTGTACAGTGCGTCACTCGCTGACTCGCAGGAGTGAACTGGTGGACTCCCCCATCCTGTAGGTCAGCACCACTCACCAAGTTCGTAGAGAACGAGGGAAGGTAGAGACCAGACAGGGTGCCAGAGGGAGCCGCCAGACACGCGAGGACTGTGGAGAAGTGAGACAGGACAGGACCCCCAGAGGGGTCAGCCAGAGATACAGCAACCGGCCGACTGAGCGGCGTGAGTGAGGGAGGCCGAAGCCGACGCAGTACCTGAGAGTGCAGACTCACCAGTACCTGAGGACGCAGACGCACTAGCACCTAGAGCAGCAACGTCGCAAGCACCTAGGGCAGCAGCCGCACGAGTACCTAGAGCAGAAGTCTCAATGCCCGGATCGGGCGGGAAACACCGGTAACAGTCACCCTCATCACTAATAGTCACAGAATACATGGCAGACAAGATAGCATCAAAATCAAGATCATAGATGGCTACTCCCGCCCTAGATAGCTCACCCCAGCGAGGGATCTCAGTGGCCTCAGGGAACTGGTGACGCCACGCGTCTGTCAGGCGGCCAAAGCAGCGCTGGGTGGGGTGCGCACCCCCACACTATGTCAACGGGAGTTGGGTATTGGCCCCGTCCTCGCTTGGGCGGAGCCGACTTCGTGGTCGGGTGTGAGGGGAGCAGCCGACCTTCAGCAGTGGGTGAGCTTGTCGACAAGAGGAGGTCGACCTACACGAGGGACCACTGCACGGGCGCCGACTTCAGGGTGGCGCCGACTTCAGGGAGGTCGACTTGGGAGTCGACCTGCGGAGGACGTCAACTTGGTGACGTCAACTTGGGGAAGCCGACCTCGGCGGTCGGCTAACGGACAGCTGGTCGACCTGTTAGTGGTCGACTGGACCTGTTGGTCGACGAAGGAGGGGCCGACGTCGACCTCGACTCAGGACGCCGAGCAGTTGGGCGTCGAGTAGCGGGGCGTCAACTTCGTGACGCCAGCTTCGGGTGGCCGACGTGGGTGGTCGGCCGACGACTGTGCTGGTCGACGAGGAGCAGGCCGACCAGGAGTGCTGGTCGACGTGGAGCTGGTCGACCAGAGGGGACGTCGACCTGGAGGAGGTCGACCGATGGTGTCGTCGACCTGGTGAGGTCAACGTGGAGGTGGTCGTTGACTTGGTTGCCTGGTCGACCAGGTTACCTGGGTGACGAAGTGCTGCGGAGGAGTGCGACGGTCGCCCAGGCGAAGTTGGCGAGCATGACCTCGGTGGTGGTATCCCGAGGTCGTTGTGGCGGATCAGAGGCAGTCGTCAGCTCGAGGTTGACATGGTGTGTGCGCTGTGCAGGTGACGAGACTCTGCACGCCAATCATCTGAGCGCAACTGCGAAGCAGGGTGCACTGCTGTCCTGCATGAGCAACGCTGTCACGCCGTCAACCTGCGACGTTGGCACGCCGTCGACCTTGCCTTGCTGGAGCGCGGTCGACCAAGTTGTGCTGGAACGCGGTCGACCAAGCTGCGCTGGCAGTTGGCCGACCTGAATGCTTGCTCTCATGTAGTCTTGCTATGCCAACTTCATTGTACCAATTGTTATGAACTTTTCCTAGTGGAACTCTTGCCAGCTTTCCACGTGAACTAGCAAGTAGTGTGCGCACAAGGAAAACGACTAAGGAACAGAGAACGTAGAGATCACACGAGCACACGTGCCTAGCCTGCAGTCTAGCTCCCGTTGTAGCAATTATCTCCGCACACTGCTCACCCGCACAGTCCCCGGTGCGCAGGACGTAGGTGCACGGACCAAAACCCCCACCCCGCTGGCGTGCACTGCACCACTCACGGAGCTGCTGAGGGGACAGGGTCTCACAACCACGCTGCTGCTGCTGGCGCGGACCACCACCGGAGCCACTCCTTTGCGTAGACCCGCGACCAGCTCCACCTCCACCTCCGCCCCCTCCGCCGCCTCCGCCACCACCGCCGCCTCCACCACCACCGCCGCCTCCGCTACCGCCGCCTCCTCTGCTCCCTCAGCCACCGCCGCCGCCTCCGCCCCCACTGCCGCCACCGGTACCTCCACCCCCTCCACCCCTCAAAGACAGGGGTGCGGGGGTCACCACGAGAAGCTCCTACAGCGACTATGCTCTTTTCCGCCGCTAGGAGGGACTTCTCGAGGAGGTCAATGGTGAGGGTGGTGGGGCACACAGCTAGGAAGTGGTCCCTGACTACTCTAAGGGAGTCAGGGAGTCGGGTGACTATAAAGTAGAGGGTGATGTACATGGGGGGGGGGGGGGGGGGGTTCTTGGCGCATAAGTCAGCAGGGAGCGCAGCGCGGTAGCGAGTGTCACTAGTGCGGAGGTGCGTAATGAGATCAGCGACTGTGGGAAAGGCAGCATGGTCAGGGAAGAGGTACGGCAGCATGAGACGGCTCAGTGCAGGAGTGGCAGGGGAGGAGTAGCGTGCAACTACAGCGTTGTACAAGGTCTGAGCACTCTTGTACTGACTAAAGTGTGCACGCTCAGAGGTAGGGAGGTGGCGACGCACAGCAAGACGTGCAGCAGCGTCGCGCGTGGCCCACTGGGAACGAACAGTGGCGTCAGCATCGGCAGCAGGGGCAGGGGAGGCGCCAGAGGTGAGGTCAAAGAGAGAGAGACCGTCTGCCCTATCGAACTGTAAGAACAGCTGTAGATCATCTACCCAGACCTCGAAGTCAATGGCCCTACCCTCAGCGTCAAAAGCTAGGACACTGGGGGTAGCCATGACGACAGTAGACTAGCAATGCAGTTAAAGAGGGACTGTGCTCACCAGACTAGGCGGCTCAGGCAGGTCGGAAGTAGGGCGGCTCGACGGCTCGGCTGCAGGGCGGCTCGGCTGCTGGGCGGCTCGGCTGCAGGGCGGCTCGGCTGCTGGGCGGCTCGGCTGCTGGGCGGCTCGGCTGCTGGGCGGCTCGGCTGCAGGGCGGCTCGGCTGCTGGGCGGCTCGGCTGCAGGGCGGCTCGGCTCTTCTGCTGCAGGGCAGTGCGGCGCTGCAGCAGGTGAGAGGCGGCGAGGCCGCTGTAGGGTAGGGCGGCGACGGGCCGCGCTAGGGCGGCGACGGGTCGCAGCAGAAAGGGCGGCGGCGGGCCGCTGTAGGGCGGCAGCAGGCCGCTTTAGGGCGGCGGCGGGCCGCTGCGGAAAGGGCGGCGGCGAGGCCGCTTAAGGGCGGCGGTAGGCCGCTGCTGAAAGAGCGGCGGCGGGCCGGTTTAGGGCGGCTACGGGCCGCTGCAGAACGGGCGGTGGCGGGCCGCAGCAGGGCGGCGGCGTCCGCTTTAGGGCGACGGCGGGCCGCTGCAGAACGGGCGGCGACGGGCCGCTTAGGGAGGCGGCGGGCCGCTGCGGAAAGGGGGCGGCGGCGGGCTGGTTTAGGGCGGCGACGGGCCGTGTTAGGGCGGCGGCGGGCCGCTGCAGAACGGGCGGCGGTGGGTAGCGTAGGGCCGCGGCGGGCCGCGTAGGGCGGCGGCGGGCCGCTGCGGAAAGGGCGGCGGCGGGCCAGTGTAGGGCGGCGTGTCAGAACATTATAGTTTACTTATTTGTGTAGGCTATAGTGGGGTATCCCATAGGGGGTACAACCAAATTAGGGTTTCCTATATGTACTCACTTCATTCATAGTCATTCCATTCTCGTTCTCATTATCACATGGAATCAGAGCAGGTCCCCTCCTAGGGACTGTTTCTTGGGCCCACCGAAGCGCGCCCCGAGGCACGCGTTCCTTTTTTTTTAGCGACCCGTCGTGTCGCCCCCCCCCCCCCCTAGCGGCCCGTCGCGCCGCCTTTTCGGTCGCGGCCCCGCCGCCCTACTCCTGCGGCCTCGCCGCCCTACGTAGCGGCCCCGCCGCCCTACCCTTCGACGGCCCCGCCGCCCTACCCTTCGACGGCCCCGCCGCCCTACCCTTCGACGGCCCCGCCGCCCTACCCTTCGACGGCCCCGCCGCCCTATTTCGACGACCCCGCCGCCCTACCCTTCGACCGCCCCGCCGCCCTACTTTGCGGCCCCGCCGCCCTACCCTTCAACGGCCCCGCCGCCCTACGTCGCGGCCCCGTCACCCTACTTGACGGCCCCGCCGCCCTACTCCCGCGCCCCCGCCGATCGACTTTGCGGCCCGCCGGCCGCACTACCTGCTGCCCTCCCGCAGCTCTACCTGCGGCCCACCCGCCACCCTACCTGCGGCAGCCTTCCGCCCTAACTGCGGCCCACCCGCCGCCCTACCTACGACAGTCGCGCCGCCCTGAACCAGAGCCGCTAGACCGCCGAGCAGCCCAGCAGCCGAGCCGCCGAGCCGCCCAGCAGCCGACCGCCGAGCCGCCCAGCAGCCGACCGCCGAGCCGCCGAGTCGCCCAGCAGCTGAGCCGCCGAGCCGCCCAGCAGCCGAGCCGCCCAGCCGTCGAGCCGCCCAGCAGCCGAGCAGCCGAGCCGCCGAGCCGCCCAACAGACGAGCCGCCGAGCAGCCGAGCCGCCCAGCAGCCGAGCAGCCCAGCAGCCGAGCCGCTGGCCGCTGAGCTGCCCTACTTCCAGACCGCCCGTTCTGCCCAGTCTGGTGAGCACAGAGCCTTCTTTTTCACTGCACTGCCCTCACCCTACTGTTTGCACTGCTAGGCGTCTGTCGTCATGGCTACCCCTTGTGTCCTCGCTTTTGACGCTGAGGGTCGGGCCATTGACTTTGAGGTCTGGGTAGATGACCTGCACCTGTTCTTACAGTGCGATAGGGCAGACGGCCTCTCTCTCTTTGACCTTACCTTTGGCGCTTCCCCTGCTCCTGCTGCTGATGCTGACCCTACTGTTCGCTCCCAGTGGGCTACGCGCGATGCTGCTGCACGTCTTGCTGTGCGTCGCCACCTCCCTACCTCTGAGCGTGCGCACTTTAGTCAGTACAAGAGTGCTCAGACCTTGTACGACGCTGTAGTTGCGCGCTACTCCTCCCCTGCCACTGCTGCACTGAGCCGCCTCATGCTACCCTTCCTCTTCCCTGACCTTGCCGCCTTTCCCACAGTCGCTGATCTCATTACGCACCTCCGCACTAGTGACACCCGCTACCGCGCTGCGCTTCCTGCTGACTTCTGCGCCAAGAACCCCCCCCCCCATGTACATCACTCTCTACTTTCTAGTCATCCGCCTCCCCGACTCCCTTCGTGTAGTCCGGGACCACTTCCTTGCGGTCTGTCTCACCACTCTCACAGTTGACAGCCTAGAGAAGGCCCTCCTAGCGGCGGAGAAGAGCATCGTCGCTGTAGGAGCCTCTCGAGGTGACCCCCGCGCCCCCATCTTTGAGGGGTGTTCTCCTTCCCCTCTCTTGCCCTCTGTCGCCTCTGCCGCTGCGGCCGACCTCGTTGGTCTTGAGTCGGTCGGTGCGGCGTCTGCCCCTAGCGGGAGACGCCGCCCTGGCAAGGGCAAGGGGGGCAAGGGAGCGGGTGGGGCTAGCGGGGGCGGTGGCGGTGGAGGTGGAGGCGGCGGAGGGAGTGGGGGTGGCAGTGGAGGAGGTGGCGGGGGTGGGGGTGCTAGTGGCAGCAGTGGTGGCGGAGGCGGCGTCGGCGGCGGCGGTACTGGCGGGGGTGGCGGCGGTGGCGGAGGTGGAGGAGGTGGAGGTGGAGGTGGTGGAGGTGGTCGGAGTGGCACTTCACAGCGGAGCAGCACTGGGGTTGGTCAGCGCCAGCAGCAGCAGCAGCAGCAGCATTCTCGCGACCTCCCCACCCCTCAGTAGCTCCGTGAGTGGTACACGCAGCGTCAGCGTGGTGGGGGTCTTGGTCCTTGCTCCTACGTCCTTCGCACCAGCGACCGCGCGGGTGAGCAGTGTGGGGGTGCCCACCCCACCCAGCGCTGTTTTGGCCGCCTGACAGACGCTTGGCGTCAGCAGTTTTCGGAGGCCATGGAGATCCCCCGCTGGGGAGAGCTATCTAGGGCTGGCGTAGCTATCTTTGATCTTGACTTTGATGCTATCCTTGCTGCCATGTATGCTGTGACTATTAGTGATGAGGGTGACTGTTACCGGTGTTTTCCGCCCGACCCGGGCATTGAGACTGCTGCTCTAGGTACTGGTGAGGCTGCTGCCCTAGGTGCTTGCGACGCTGCTGCTCTGGGTGCTAGTGTGTCTGCGTCCCCAGGTACTGGTGAGTCTGCGCTCTCAGGTACTACGCCGGCTTCGGCCTCTCACACCTTCACCCTTGACTCTGGGGCGTCTCGCTCCTTCTTTCGGGATCGCACCACACTCACGTCGCTTAGTCGGCCGGTTGCGGTTTCCCTGGCTGACCCCTCAGGGGGTCCTGTCCTGTCTCGCTTCTCCACTGTCCTCCCGTGCCCGGCGGCTCCCTCTGGCACCCTGTCTGGTCTCTACCTCCCCTCGTTCTCCACGAACTTGGTGAGTGGTGCTGACCTACAGGATGCGGGAGTCCACCAGTTCACCCCTGCTCGTCAGCGGGTGACGCACTGCACAGAGGCTAGCACAGGTCGACACCAGACTACGTTTACCCGTCAGCCAGGGTCGAGCCTGTACACACTGACCAGTGCGCCCCCCCCAGTTACTGAGTCTAGTAGGGTCCCTGCGTCTGGTCAGGTGTTTGCTGCAGCGTCCAGGTCTGGTCCTGAGTCTGCCCCCTGTTCGTGTCGTCTCCTGTCTCACGAGACTCTCCTCTAGCACCACCGCCTTGGTCACCCCTCTCTGCTTCGGCTCAGAGGCATGGCCTCCCGTCTTCTTGTGTCTGGTCTCCCCCGGTCCCTCCCTCCCCTTCCTCAGGGCCCTGGCCCTTCCTGTGTCCCCTGTGTTGAGGGGCGCCAGCGTGCTGCCCCTCACTCCTCCCAGTTTCCTCCGACTGAGGCCCCGTTGCAGACGCTTCACATGGACGTGTGGGGCCCCGCCCGCGTCCGTGGACAGGGTCACGAGCGCTACTTCCTGCTTGTTGTTGACGACTACTCACGTTACACCACAGTCTTCCCCTTGCGCAGCAAGGGTGATGTCACTGAGGTGCTGATCGACTGGATCCGCGCAGCTCGTCTCCAGCTCAGGCAGAGCTTTGGCTCGGACTTTCCTGTTTTGCGTCTGCACTCGGACAGAGGCGGAGAGTTCTCCTCTGGCCTTCTGCGAGCCTACTGTCGTGCGCGAGGCATCCGTCAGACCTTCACGCTTCCGGACTCACCGCAGCAAAATGGGATTGCAGAGCGCCGCATTGGCATGGTCATGGACGTCGCTCGTACGCCTATGATGCATGCGGCTGCCCCCCATTTTCTGTGGCCGTTTGCGGTGAGGTACGCGGCGCACCAGATCAACCTTCACCCGAGGGTCTCCAGGTCGGAGACCTCCCCAGCCCTGCTGTGGACGGGGAAGGTTAGCGATGCGTCGGCGTTCCGGGTCTGGGGATCTCGGGCGTTTGTCCGCGACCTGTCTGCGGACAAGCTGTCCCCTCGTGCTGCTCCTTGCGTCTTCCTGGGGTTCCCCCCCGACGCCCCTGGGTGGCAGTTCTACCACCCTACCTCTCGCCGTGTTCTGTCCTCCCAGGACGTCACGTTCGACGAGTCGGTACCCTACTACCACCTCTTCCCCTACCGCACTCCTTCCCTCCCCCCACCCCCGCTCTTCTTGGTACCAGGTCCCCCCCCCGGTAGAACCCATCCCCCCTCAGGGCCCTACCCCTTCAGGTGTGTCCCAGGTAGACGCGGTCGAGCCTGTCGAGGTCACTGGTGACTCTGGTGCTGCTGCAGGTGCTGAGCCTAGGGGTGTTGAGACTGGGGGTACTG